CATTATTGTTTATTTCTTTTTACCATTACAACACAATCCTCTACACATGAAAACAAAGTTATAAATAGAAAAATTAACGCAAAATTGTGTGTTAAGCTGAAAAAAAATTGCCAAGCACATATATTTGTTGGCCTCTATCAATAGAAATTCTAAAAAAATCTAAACGTCTGCACGTTCATCAATGAAATTTCATTTACAGGTATGCACATTTTAACTCATTTTCTAATACTTATTAACTTATTGACACAACAACAAACCTAACTCTGTAGATACACCATCAAGAATTTTTTATACTATGAAAATTGTTGAAAAACATTTTAGATGTTAACATGCAAAATGAAAACACGATGATCACCTGACAAAATGAACGACATACATAAAACACAATCAATGCATTAAATAAAAGAAGCATGAAAAATTAAACTTTATCAATTATTTTAAGACTTTTAGCACAGAAAAATGAAGAAAGTGAAAAGAAAATCATTGAGAAGTAGGAGCAAAAGCGTTGATCTCTTTGTTATTTAATGTGAATTTTTCAGTCCTGACTAAACGTTCTAACAAATTTGTTTTCTTGCAGGGCTGTTGCTGTTGTGGAAGTTGTTTTTGCAGGAGTAGTTGTTGACTTTGATGGAAGGGTGCAAAATTGTCCTCTTCAATGTTTGGAGAGCCAGGAATGGTCTCCATCTTTTGAGAGAAAATTTTTTTGTTAGGGCAGAAAATGTTTTGAGAATGTTTTGAAAGATTGCCATCAACGTCATCGACAATTTCTGCTGCCGAGTCATTTCTCGACAAACTCGTTTGACTGCCAGCATGCTGTGCGGTAAAACCAGCAATACTGAACAAATGACGAAATGACGCCAAACTCTGGGCTTTCAGAATTGGTTTGGTTGTCATTAGAGATGGTCGGACGCATTTATCGGAGTTGCAGTCAACATTCTTAGACTCGTTCGACGACCACTCGTTAATATTATCATTATTGCTGCTGATGACGTTGTCGTTACTGAGCGGCACTTCGTAGAGCGGAAATACGGCACGGAAAATATCAGAAAAGCTACGACCTTTGGTTAGGCCACCTTCTTTGAATTTGTCAGAACTTGAATCGTCCATGTTTGAAATTTTTCAGAATTTAGTGAACAAAATAATCTTCACGACTTCCAATTTTATTTAAGATAGATCGGTCACGAACGAACAAAATCACAACAAAATCTTTATGAACAAAAATGCTATCACTAATGGCCGGAAACAAATGAACTACTAAACAGCTGTGAAATAATAAAAATATAAATAGAAAAGGTGACAAATTTTTAAAATACATCAAAGGACATTGTTATTTACTAAATTGTTGCTACTCGCACAGTAAAATGCACATACCTACATATATTTTTATATACACTAATAAACAGCATGAATAACAAACATCATATTAGAGAACGAACTTGGAACTTTTGAACTTGTTTACAACATTTTCAACCAATCAAATCTATTATTTAATCATTTATAAAATTTAAAATTGAAGAAATAATACCAAACATGCCCAAAAATTTTATTTTATTTAACAAAATAAAAACCTCTATTTTTAGGACCCTTAAGCCAATCTCTATCATGTGCTTATATATCAAACCCACACACACAGGACAATTAATAAACTAAATACTAATAAAATCAATCAACCAATTTGTATATAAAGTGCTATATCCGAGATGTTGAACAACGCTCGTCAATGAGCTTTAAAACGATGGGTCTTGAAATCCACTCTGAACTTCAAAAGTAATGGAAAAGTAAAGAAGGAGGAAGAGAGTTTCAAAAGAAAGGTCAAGAAAAAGTAAAAGCAGACTTAGCATAAGAGCGTTTTGCAGGAATAAAGAAAAAGTAAGAAAGAGAAGGATAATGTATCGGGGGCGTCTAGTTTTAATTGAACCTAAATGAACCGGTCTACGATCGTCATTTTGTTCTCATTTCTTCTTAACCCGGGTTAAACACTCTTGCTAAACCTGCGTTGGTTTTTTCAGACCCTTTTTTCTGGAACTCTCTACCTCCTTTTCTGATTACTTCTCCATCACTTACGAAGTTCAGAGCGGATCTCAAAACCCATCTGTTTGCAAAATTCACTGAGGAGCGCTGTTGAACATCGCAAAAATAGCCCTTTACAAACTAATTGATTGATTGGTTGGTTGGTTGATTGATTGATTGATTTATTGATATATCCGACTAATACTTAGAAAATAATTTAGACTGAGACTTGTACAATAATATGCAAATTTGTGAATTATTTTATATTTTATAGATAGCCATAATAGATTGATTGATTGATCGATCGATCGATTGACTGACTGACTGATTGATTGATCGATCGATCGATTGACTGATTGATTGACTGATTGATTAATTGATTGATTGATTGATTGATTGATTGATTGATTGATTGATTGATTGATTGATTGATTGATTGATTGATTGATTGATTGATTGATTGATTGAACGCCAAGAGGTTTGCTTGCTATAATCCGGTGTCACCGCCGATCATAATATATATAATACATATAATTTATATTTATAAGCACCAGAATGTAAAATATTTATTGAGCATAATAAAGATAGTTGTTAAACTAACAATTTTAATTTATTTACGCAGTTTGTTTCATAAAAAATCCATAAAAGCCTATCAAGTTTGAATTAGTAAAAAAAGGTGACCAGTTCATAACTAATAAGCCAACCTATGGCTTCAGTATGCCACTGTATTTATTTCACTAGACAAAAAGCAATTTTCATATTCAAATTAGCAAAATTAATTTTAAAATACATAAATATTTTTAATTAATACATTGTTTTTAACACAATAAGTCAAGGAACTATTTCATAGAGCTTGTTTGTTAAAACCCAGGCATTACACAGGTAAGCCAATAAGCCAATAATGGCGATAACCCAAGTTAGTCAGATAGCCGGACCCACATAACTAGAATAAATATAACGGCTTTCGCTCACTTTTAACGATCGAACAAGGAGCTTACTTCCGGAGGAGATTTGAAGGGTGATTTTTTATTATTCGAGTCAAAAGTTACGATCAATCGGTCGGGCTATTTGTCATGCTTGGATTGTTGGCTTACGAAATTGCATGGATTTTAACGAGCAAGCTTTATGAAATATTTACTTGACTTAATATGCTTAAAACATTGTAGTAATTCTATTTAATTTTATTTAATAAAATTATGTATTATTAAATTATATTTGTTAATTTGAATATAAAAATTGCTTTTGGTCCGGTGAAATCCGGTGGCTTACTGAAGCCGAAGGTTGGCTTACTAGGATTGAGCTATAGTCACCCTTTTTTTTACACTATTCGATCATGTTAAAAATTTGTTTGCTTATGAAATAAACGGCCTAAATAAATCAAAATTGTTATTTGAACAACTATCTTCATTATATTCAATGAATATTTTCCATTCTGCTGGTGCTCAAAAAAATTGTTTGCTGAAATTATACGTTGGCCTACTGCAGTGGCTTTCCTTACAGGGTTTAATAGAACTCTTAGGATAGCGTTTTTTGTACATATAATGCTTTAAATAAATCAATGTATTCATATCACAATTATTTTTGTCAATATAAATATAGAAATTGGTTTAGTCTGGTGAAAAACAGCGCCTTACTGATGCCGTAGGTTGGCTTAATCAGATTTTTATTTTCATGTATACAATACTATGAAATCAATCAATCAATCAATCAATCAACCCACCAACCAATCATTCATTCAATCAACTAATCAACCAACCAATCGGCCAATCAATCAACCAAATTGAATGAAACAAATAAACGAAAAAAAATAAAAATAAAAAATACTCTTAACCGTACAGATCTACAACCAATTTCGAGATTTTAGTAAAGAAAGACAAACACAATGGTTGCTTTTATTTGAATTCATTAAAAAATGAAAAGTGACGGTTAATTAAAATTTAAAAACGTCAATTTTTTAAAAATTTGTATTTTAAACAAAGAAATATAAAAAACATCGACCGATAAAAAATAATAATTATTATTAATAATATACACACTCCTTAGTAGTTCTCTGACAATGATTCAAGTAATAATAACATTTAGTAAAAACAGTTCACAGCATAACAATATATAACTAAATTAAAAAAAACTAGAAACCAGTCAACACTTAATAAATAAATAGACATTATTGAAAAGATTGTTCAAAAAGGTAAAATTTAAGGCGACGACGAGAATGAAATGTAGTTTGTTTTGTTGGTGTGGGGCTGTGAAGCGAAAACAAACAAACACATCACAAAAAACTAGTAAGAAGTCGCAAGAATAGCAGTCACCTACCTACAAATAAATTACTCTCAGGGCCCTAGCTTACTTATAATCGTTAACTCAACTCACCTACCTACAAATATGTATTTTTACGCTTTTGGAATTTTACATGTTTTAGGTATTTTATTTTACATATTTCAGCGTTTTTGTTTTACTTGAAACTTGTTAAGCCCTAGCCTACCTACGATTGTTCAATTCATCTCAATCCCTAACTTACCTACGAATTAAATTAAAGTCCGGTAAAGAAATTAGAAAGTTGAAAAGAAACATAACAAAACGACACCGAATGAATGGATGTTGTGTATGTGTGTGTTATATTAATGTGTGTGTGTGTGTAAATGTGCGGGCGTGTCCTCTCCAGAAACTTCTTCACTCACTACGGACGAACCTCCATTGCACCGACCATCATCTGACACGATGGGACAAAAACAAATTTCCTTTTAATATTATCTTCAAATTGTCATCGGAACGGATCACCATGAGACCACCATCTGAAACGTGCTGACGCCCACCACAGCCCACCCCTCATGACTCTGTAGACATTTTTTATTAGCGTATTAGTAAATCAAGGAATAAATGAACGAACGAATAAATGATTAACTGAATGATTAAATAATTGGTTGAATGACTGAGTGAATGAATGAATTAATTAATCAATCAATGATTCAATTAATGAAAAGAATGAATTTACGAGTCAATTAATGGAAGAATAATTTGAAAGATTGAGTGATAAAATGAACGAATAAATGAATGAGAAAAATAAAAAACGAAACTAAACCTTATTTCAAAAATCGTCGTTACTGTAATCCATTGTACCGACCACAACCATCTGGTCGGCACACAAGATGTCATCCGAACTTCAGAGTGTCAGTCGAACAGCCAACGAGCTGATTCTTCCTACACCACCATCATGAGACCACCATCAGAAACGTGCTGACGCCCACCACTGCCCACCTCTCATTATTCTGTAGACAAAATTTTTTATTATCTTAGTAGTAAATGAATGTTCGTACGAAGGAACAAACGAATAAATGATTAGTTGAATGATTAAGTGAATGAATGAATGAATTAATCAATCAATAAATCAACGAATGTAAGTAACGAATAAATTAATTAATGCATAAATAATTTGAAAGATTGAGTGAGAAAATTAATGAATGAGAAAAATAAAAAAAACGAAACTAAACCTTCTGAGTGTCAGTCGAACAGCCAACGCGCTGATTCTTCCTACGCCACCATCATCATACGTAAATCATCTGAAACGTGCTGACTCCCACCACTGCCCACTCTCATCATTCTGTAGACAAATTTTTTTATTAGCGTAGTAGTAAATAAATGTTAGAATCTTAGAAGCAAAAATTTATAAAATGAAAATAATGGCAAATAAATAATATTTTAAAATAATAAAGAGTCAAATGTAAAAAAAAACGTACGGTCGTCCATTCGACAAAGGCAGAATGTTGAATGCGGTCCGGTTCCTACGTTGTCCTCCAAAACTGGTGCCAGTCCTTCTCGAGATTGTTGTTGAAACACAGCCCGTGGAATGGAGAAAGAGAAAATTCTCACCAGAAAGCTTAGCGGTGCCGGCATCTCAAATTGCTTACTTAATAAAAATAATCCTATCTACCTATTCAATTACCTTAACTAATATATATTAAATTATTAATGGTACGATAGTCGAAAGTCCCCTTTCATTCTCCCTCCTTGGACAGGGGTTCACCGGCCAGCCAGGGCACGGGATGGTAACCATTTGCCGTGCGGATAGTAGACAATTGCCGTGCGGATAGTAAACCATT